CTGCTTTATCTGACAGCACGGACCGAGCTTCTACTCGTCTGGTCAGGCAAGCCTGTCCGCCAACTTCATTTTGACTTACTAACTTGTATCGGTTCATAGGACTTGATCGGCCTAACAATGGACCTCGCCCTCACAAAGAAATGGCATACCTAAGAATAGCCATTTACAAAGCACAAATGGCGTTATGTTTAACTTTGCCTCGAGTTAGGGCGGAGGCTCCGCCTTAACCGCGGAGGGCACCGTTCAATCACCCCAGATTTGATTGACAAGAATTGTCGATCAACTGCAGTGAAGAGCCTTTTTGCGTTCAGCTCTTCCGATTGTAGACGTTGTAACTTGTAAGCGACGGAGGAACCAAGAAGGTTACTTAGTCTCGGTTCGGAATTTGATATCCGTTAACGCAATCCGGTTGAAACTTAAATATCATAACCATATTCATTCGTGATGCCCCCAAGATTTTTGACCAAACAACAAACATGGCTAGTGTCCGAAACAAGTCACTATCTCAGCGCTATCTGGAGCCGTGAGCCTTCGGAACGACGCTGGCTGTGGCGACATCGAACCGTGAACCGTGACATTTTCTCGGGAGCTGGGCGCTACGGGCTTTATCGGCCCTACTTCCTCGGACGATCCGTCAGAGGAAGCTATAAATAGGGGGACGTCTCTGGTAAACTGCACAGTCGGACACAGCGACGGTGGACGCTGAGTACTGTTCAGCTTTCAGCTGTCCAGATTAGAACTTGGACAGTGCACACAAAGGCCATTGTCGCGATGTTGTACGGTAATGCGACTGTCTGCTAGACTGTCTAGTGCCATACGGGATACTGCGACTACTGCGTCATTGCATGACCCCACGATGGCGTTCCAGCGGCCGGGGTGCTGGAACGCCGCGCACCGGCCGGACGGGGCCGCCGCTGCGAAGACAACTGGTCAGACAATAGAGACGGTGACCAAAGTGCGGCTGCTGTGGCGTCTGGCCAGCGGCGCCGGCCCGAACACTGAGAGCCGAGGCGGCGGCACCGGCAGGGTGCCAGCGCTGAGCAGTGAGCAGCCGCTCCAGAACTGGGCAGCCGGCCGGACGTCGGATACATCGATCGTATTGAGACACAGCGGCGCCGGAGACACGGCGGACGGTGGAGAATGGACGGCACGGCGGTGGATAGAGAAACACAGGGGACGGTGGATAGGGGGAGCCGGGGGAAGCCCGGCATAGTAAGCTCTTTTTCATTTTTATTACGTATCATACGTGCTGTATAAAATGTTGATATGCTGTTACCTAGATGAGTTAATTGGCCGTGTTTTCCCAAAAAATCGGTTTCGTGGAAATAGTATAAGGCTGAGAAAATCGAGTTTTAAAAAAGTGCTGATCTTTCTGGGGTAAGCCCGGCATAGGGGTAACGCCGGCCACCTCCCCAGCGCTTCACAACGAGTTGATGAAACCATTACCTATGTGTCTTTCAAATATTGACTGAAAGTGAAATATTAAGGTGCCGATTAGCTCTGGACATCTTAGAGTTTATGTCACTACTGGTATTTTAGCTAGCGTCTACCACATATACAGTACAGGTCGATGAAAATCGTGATGCAAAATTGACAAAAAATGTGTATTTCAAAATTCCTTAAAATTTATTTTTTATTTACCTAAATGCATCATATTGCATATCATTCGACTCGGCTGATGAAGAAGAACACAACGACACCATGTTTGAAGCTCTAGCTTCCTTGTCTGTTGCGTTATCTGCAAAAACGTAGTTTGACCCTAGTTGACCTCAAGTGACATGACTGTTCCTGTAGCATACAAACATAAACTTAGTCACTTATTGATATAAACTGATGGAGGGTAACTAAAAACCGTTAAAATGGAGCGGATATCTCCCATATTTTACAGTAAAAACCAGGCAAGCAATCGCCCTTCATCCATACCTGATATTTATAGGCACTGGAATAGAGCGACAGGCCGAAGGGCTTTGTCTATGATAACATGTTTATTTTCGAAATTTATCTTTGCTCTAGGTGTAAACCAAACCTACTCAGTACCTATTATCTCACGGAAAACAGTGGTTTAGTGGCATTGCTCTCGGTTGGGGGTAAGCTTGGCCACTCGCCCGGGGATACCCCAACGTGCTAATTTTTATTTTAGAACAGCGATGCTCGAAAAAATGTCATACTTAAGCCAGCCTGCCTCGTCACCCCTCACTACAAACACTTAAACGGTCCTTGCATAACATTCGTATAAATATTAAGACTGTATGGTATAACCATAGTATAACATTAACAGTACAACATATCTCACTTTCTAGCTAGAAGCCCTTAAAATACCATTTTTGCTCTATAACTTTAAAAATATACAATTTTTGTTAGCCTTAGCTTTTTTGCTGGCGTTACCTTAGCTGCCACGCTGAAAGGACAAACAGTTGAGCATTTTATTGTGAATAATTTAGCCGGAAACGGGGTGGCCGGGCTTCCCCTGCGCCCGGGCTTCCCCTAAGTGGACGGACACATGGCGGACACTAGACAGTGGACGGAGATACCAGTACGATAGATGGCGGAGGGTGTGTTACCGGCATCCGCTGGTCACGGTCACCTGACATTTCCCTGACCATTCGCAGTTCTGCCAAACTGTCAGTCCTGCAGGCAGCCACAGGATCATCAATTCCAGATCCCACAATTCCACCACTTCACATCCGGACTAAACGAGCACCTCCCGCACTCCCTCATGGCCTAACCAAAACAGCACCAATGATAAACTCATTAGGATGACAGTTCAGATCTCACAGCATATCATCCGATCATTCGAATAAAGCGAAGCCGGGTCAAACCATCCGACCAGTCAAACCAAGCCCAGGCCCGGGGGTTTTCCCGGTGCCCATCTCGAGCTAATTGACACTTGATATCTGAGCGTGGATTTGGGGCTGCACCGCCACGGTCGGTTAAACCCGCTAGGCACGGCGCCGCCGACCGAATGAGATTCATTAAACTCCACACAGTGGCGTCATTCGTGACGTACACGATAGCGTTAAACTTTCAGCCGCCATGGGAGAGCCCACCTTCCACGGAAGGATCCGAGGGGTGGACGGAGCCAGACAAGGCTGCTACACTGCTTTACGTCATCCGTCTAACTAATGACCCGCTAGAAACGGTGAAACGAGATTCATTATTCAACAGCACTCGTAACGGCTCCGTCGGGTGCCATTTCATTCAGCATCGCCTCAAAGCAGACCCATGCTTCAATCAGCAATGACAGCCTTAGCCCACCACGCTACCTCCAGTTTCCATGTCCGGGATATTATCCTGTACTCGCCAGCTTTCGGGAGCGGTCGGTCGGCGGCCTCGGTAGCCGCGCTTCGTCCACCGGTCATTAGGAGAGCTCAGGAGCCGGATGACGGCGTAAGCTGAACGCCTGTCACTTAGTGGCCGCTAATAACAAAGGTAAACACGGCCCCACCGCTGGGTCAGAGCAGAACGCAGAAGCAGGGTAACTGGCCGGCCGTGCGTGCAGGTTTACGGGTAAACGAGTCGGTTTCTGCACGAAATCAGACCAATTCCTAGAACAGCACGTATACAGCGGTTGAATGTTTCATACGGGGCCTGTGCTGCGCGAGATTAACATGTAACGCGGTAACACGGAACTGACAGGCGCCTTTGCATTATTGCTTTCCGACTCGTGAGTCCAAATCCCAGGAAAGCTGATCCCTAAAAAATAAAACTCAGCACGGAAGCAGCATTTGTAAATGCACCGGTGCTCGGGAAATCATCCCGCAGAGACGATTTCGTTTGGGCCTACTAGCCCAACTTTTCTTCACTGTCCGATTCTCTCCCGACCCCTCCCTGTCCACTGGGGGAGCCAGGACGGAACGGCGACACGCGGCTAACGTATGGCTCACCGGGACGTATAAATCGCGCTGCGCTGCAGTCTACAACTGAGGGAGCGCTTCAGCCATTCGTCTTTGGTCGGGCACGCAGCCTGCGGTGGCGTGCACCGACAAACCACTGACGTCGGTGGGATTTAGTGGAAGGAAACTGCAAGGTGGATCGGTTACGATAGAAGTTGAACGCGGGTTGTTCGTGATAGAATACTGAGATCTGAGCTCACTTTGCACGCCGTTGATTTGTTTATGAGGGCTTCAGGGCACACCGACTGCTGAAATTATTTTTTCCTTACTCCATTGCACACCGAACCTTCTTAAAATAAAACAACACGTAGAGTGAAGAACAATGCATGAAAAAAACTTTATCTAGCTCAGGCATAGCAACATCGCAAAATTTAAGATTTCATCACCGCGATGGCATACACGGCTTCCCGCTTGAGCCCTCCGATCGGTAAGAGGTGCTCCCCGTTGGCTGCTCGCGAGGGCGGGTCCATCCGGGTGGGGGTGGAATGCCTCCATCGAGTGGCCGCGACGTGCCCGAGAATTTCGACAACGAGCGCGCCGGCCGGCGAGTGGCCACTCGGCGCGTCCTGTTCAATATTCAAAGTGGAGTACTCGGGGCGTGAATTCAATACTGTCCACCAGTGACTGCGGGCCGGGCGGACCAGTCTGCCCGACCACAGGAGAAACTGGCTCACTCTCTGTTTAAGTAAGGCTGGGAGATTGGGAGCCGTCGGACCACAGCTCACAGGGCGTTGCTTTACGGCGTGAAAGACAATCAGAAGCGACCAGGCGAAGAACAATTCTGCTGTAAGTCAGGCTTTGAGCGCGAATTTGTTAGAGACTGTGGGTAAAACCAAGAGAGAAATTCTAAGCACGCTGTACGAGGCGTGTCCTAATCCCTAGATCCCGGCATGAGTTATATCCGGTAAAATTAGAAGCACAAGTGATCTTCAGGTGTTGCGATGGTCTCGTTTTGGAGAGCACAACCACACACCTCTAAACGTTTTATCTTCAAGTTTCTGAACAGGTGAAACATATGAAAATGATATTTTATTACCTAGACCATTAAATATCAAATCATTGTCATGGTAGGATAAAACACAGAATGAAGATTGTCTAAAAATCGTGAGCATTCACAAGATTTATTGTGTCCTTAAAATAACAGGCTGACAACAATGTGACAACAGGGCTAGTCATAAAAACAGCCGAGCATGATTTAGCTCGGGCTATTTCCGGCACGGTCGCTCTCACAGCTTGGTCTAGCGGCTCGGCCATTTAGATGTTCGAGCTACAAGGAGCGCTGTATCTGGTTAATGGCAACAGGACAGGCGTGGAAGACTATACAAGAGACACTGAAGACGGTACGGTAGTCTATGGCACCGCTACAAGTTACAACACTAGCCGATAATGGTTACGGCGGTGCGAAGCGACGTTAAATGCAGCTATCGCAGAAGCTTATCTCACACTTCATCTTGAGGTGGACCCGAATCATTGACGTCATGCTTTCAGGCATTACCAAACAAATAAGTACAGGAAACCGACGTACGAAGACTTTGGTGCGAACATTCTGACAACGTTGAAATCAAACTATGAAGGAACACAGGTAGAGTGTTTCAAAGATGTTTTACGGATGCTCTTCATTAAATTTCGAATGAAGCGAACTTCCCGTTTCATTGCTCACAGCTGAGCTCAAAGTATCTTTCAACATTAATCGGCCATTGTTTCATCCCTCGATAGGTACCAACGCACAAATTACATCAATACCACTGCTGACCGCCGTTGCAGCTTGCAATGCGCACCACCAGACCTTCTCAGACCCCGCTCACTCTCTCGGAGCCACCTTCGCCCCCTTTACGGTCACTCTCCCTCCTCCGCGCACTAGTGCCGGACCACGGCGGGCCGCGCGCTGCGGACCTCGCAGACGCTCACCTCCATGTACGAGGCGTCCGAGCTCTGGGTCATATCGCAATCGCTGACAGAGCGGCGCATCGGACGCACCCGCACAGCCATGTCTGGCACAGAGAATTCGTCATTCCAGCGGACTCGCCGGGAGGCGACACTCTTGTGGCCTGCGAACAGAGAAGGGATGGGTCAGATCGATGAGTGTAGCAAGGCGTGATATAAGACAACACAAAAACGCATTGTAGAAGATCCATCTCAGTTTTCTGATTCTATAGCTCATTATATCAGACATACGCTACCACCTAATTCAAAAAGTTTTCTAAAAGAAACGCACGAAATTTCCATGCATCACTCCGCAGAAATATGCTGTGCAGTACTGAACATAACAACTGATGAAGAGGCTCGTAAAAAACGCACGGCGGGTTCTATCAGTTAGTAGCTGCCAGTTTGCCTCATTCAAACAGAACCACAGTGCCCACAACGCCTCCCCATAATCAGGTAGCGGCCCTCGCGACTGGTCATCCCTAGTGAGGCTGTCCGCTGCGACCAGCCGATGACAAAATATCCATCACCTTACCTGTGTGTTTGACAGCAATAACCGGAGACGGGTTGGGCAGGAACCGCCCGGCCTTGCGATTCTCGGCCGTGTTCTTACGAACCAGTTTGTTCCACGCCGTCTTGTCCTGCGGGGCATGAGAAAGACAACGAGTTACATAGCCGTCCGGATACGCCAGATTTGAAGAGACAGTTGGTATGAATCAAGTACACTATACGATGAAAAGCGCATGGGTCAATATACAGATACAACACAAAATATGTCTAGGTGGACCTCACGAACATAGTTACGCCTCATAAAATTGATAACCAAATATGTGAAAAAAACAGCCAGGTGACAGAACATAGTTCACCAAGCTACACGCTGTTCCATAACATTCCGTTGTTGCCCCTGGCCGTACCTCATCGAGGTGAAACCAATCAGCGGTCACACCGGACCAATTTATCAGCCACTCGACCAGGCCTCGCTAGTTCGAACCACCGTTCGGCAGTGAAAACAATCCCTCTCCTTCCTCCCCTTCGCGAGACGGCCCCGGGGTGACACTGGACTTGCAGTATCCAGAGTCCGAGCCATGGTCCGACGCCAGAGTCCTCAGTTAGTCCCTGGCCGGGGATCGACACTGTGGCGTCGACGGCGTCGGGGCGGGACGGGAGGCGTGACTATGACCGCCGCCGCCGACCGTCGAGCGTTCCCCACACTGATGAGATCAGCTAATCGAATCCGACTTGCCGACCGACCGACCGCCGAGCCCGTCGGGGACAGCGACGGCGGGTCTGCCAACCCCCCCGTCGAGGACATGAGTGTCGGCGTGTCCATCCGCTGCTCTTAGTCGGAACATAAATTGGCACAGTGGATAGGACGTAGAGGTAAGACACAACGTCACTGACCTATCAACCCCAAAGAACGTCACCACTCGTAACCGTGCAGTCAGGATCACCAAAGTCGGACATGACCCACTCAACCGATTACCAAAATGAGCCGTCTAGTGCTGGTGTATAAATCGACACGTCAATGTGCGAACCTCCACACAGAAGTTCCATCTCCGCAGATCTAGTACGAGTACTTCTCTCACAATGGCGGACCGTCCCCCAGGAGCTGTATTTGTTAGCGAGGTGCCAGCATGGAGACGCTGCGCAATACCTTCACTAGTTCCCGGAGTCGGGTCGGTCGCAGCCGCCGGCTAGTTCAGACCGAGCGGCGGCCAACGCCTCTATTGACGCCACGGCCCGGCTCAGCTGCCGTCCGGAGCTCAGTCTGATTGATTTTCATACCGATATTGGTATTCATAGCGTTCTTCGGTCAGAACTCACGGGGCTTTTCCTTCAAGCATTTTCTGGCAAACCTTCCGGCGATGGGTGATACAAGTATTCCGCATAAGTTCAATTCCGCACTTCAAACGTATCTTGTAAGCCCACGAGCCAGTCTGGCAAATCGCAACCAAAGTAACAACAAATTTCTTCCGTTTCCATCATACGGCTCAGGCACCCAAACGGAGCATTTCAGCTCAGCCGGAACCGTAGAAAGCGGATAAAACTCTTTGAGCAAGCAGCGTCTCCTGGCTGTCGAGCCTCTGCGGCGCTCGAAACCCCTCCGAAAACATCCGTCTCCTCGGATCACGCAGCGCACAAATACCAGTCTTAGAGACCCGTCGTTCGTCTTCATGTTTTCACGTCTACTCGTCTAGAGGCCCGCCTTTCGTTTTCACGGACCAGAGACGCGTTTACCCGTCTTGAGATCCGTCGCTTGTTTTTATGCTCTCATGTCGACCCGTCTGAAGGTCCGTCGTTCGCCTTCATATCTTTACGTCTACTTGTCTACAGAGGTCCGTAGCTCGTCTTTATGTCGTCATGTCCACTCGTCTCGAGGTCCGTGACGACCGGTCGCGACAGCTCCGTCCCCGGGTCCCCACGCACCGGCGGCCAGCGGCGCCGGCTAATGAGACGCGCTGCTAATAGCCCGCCAGCACGCACAACGGCGACAGGGAGGGGGCGACTCGCAGATGGGCCACCCGTGCATGACCCCTTGTCATGAGCCGTGTCACGACCTGTGTCAAGCTGTGTGACACAGACTATGTCATGAGCTGTGTCGTGAGCTTTGTCATGAGTTCTCTCATGAAGTTTGTCAGGCGCCATGAGGTGTGTCATGTCAGGTGTCACGAACTATCACATGGTGACACCTACAACATGCACTGTCACGATTCTGTCATGAGCTGACACCAACTGCATTATCAGCTGTGTCACGATCTGTCCTGTTAGATGCGTCGCAAAACTCACTAGTCGACAGTCGTGTTAGGGGATGTCACGATCTACGTCACGGATTATCGTCTCATTAGTCGTGACACGCAGAGACACGGGCTCTGCCAGGACGGGGTACACCGTGCCAGGAGTGGCGGTGCCGCGCGCGACGGAGTGGTTCTCACCAGCCGCCAGCGACCGTTGTAGCACTGCCCGGCGACGGCAGCACAATAAATAACAACCGAGCGAGCGCCGGCGCTCGGTTCCGAGTCACACAAATCAACGGTATCGTGGATACGACGGACAGACAGCGGTGAGCAATAGCGCCGCTCATTCTCATGTGCCGTTACTATTTATTTCATGACGCTGTTTGCGTCAGACCACAAAAATATCGTGACATGTGCCTTCATTCGTAAAATTTAGAGCGCGGATTACGTGTACGCTTTTTCAAATAAATGATGTCATTCATGGGATGTCAGCGACCGCGTAGCACAGAATCATCATCCCCGCTTCTTGTCAACAAAAGACACCCACAGAATCACCAAAGGGGTTTGACTCTAGACATTTCAATTTGTTCGGTCCATGTCCACAGTCGACACTGCAATAATATGGTAATATGGTGGCTTATAGGGGGCAACAGATAGAGTGACGCGCAAAGGATAAGGCGCAGATGGAGACCTTGCTACAGCCGCTAAAGCACTCAAAGACTTGCGAGTAGTGATGATACCGATACCAGTCAGCCCACATCCACCCTAAAACACCCCCGTGTTGTCCGCCTCCTCTCTCTCTCTCTCTCTCTCTCTCTCTCTCTCTCTCTCTCTCTCTCTCTCTCTCTCTCTCTCTCCCCGACAGAGGTGGTATCGTCGTCGCCGTCAGCGGCGCGGCGCGGCGGTCACGCGCCGTCGCCGGACGCGCTGAGCTGGCCGACGCGGCGCTGCTGACCTGGCCCGACACGCTACCGTGCGACAGAGCGCCGGCCGGCCCTAATACGCAAACAAGCACCGATCGCAGCGGCATCAGCGGTCCGGGCGGTCCGGGCCCACGCCCACGGTCAGACGACAGCATGACAGGGGAATAGAGATGGGAGATTTCTTGAGCGAGGGAGTTAATTGACCGTCGTAAACCGCAGACCACCACGAATAAAGGGCGATCGTTAAATGATAGCGACTGGAAATCATAAAGAAGATAGTGCAGGAATTAATTAAAGAAGTGCGGTTATAACCAGCTAATAGCTACTGGCATTTCCAGATGAGTAGCAAAAATGGCTCCGATTAACTAAAAATAGCAAAATGAACACCATGCAAAACTCCCTACGTCACTGCAGTGTAGCTTTATTTCATTATTTATATAATCAATATAACATCACCCTTTTAGAAGCCCACGAACTGCGCTCGCAGTTAGAGCTAATCTCGCTGCTCACAAGTTTTCGACCGCGAGTTGAACAAAGAAGACGCGACTCTGGACGGCCGCCACCCGTCATTGAACGGCCAAGAGTGACCCGAGCCGGCCGATCACAAGAGGCCGTCCGCAGTTGGCAACTCTAATGGAATGAACCGAGGACCACCCCCGCCAGTTCTGTCCGTCGCAGAACGACGCGGGACGCGGCATTGCGGCCCGGCGCTAAAGAGCTGACGATCCTTGGGGGAGGGGGAGCGTCCTGACTGCATTGATCACTGGTGAACAGAGATTTGATCTTCCCAAAATCGGACCGAGGGTTAATCCCCTCAAACTCAGCCTACTGATCTGATCTTCCTGAACTTGGATCGCTCGGTACAGGGTCGTTGGAGTTCAAAGGCCAGTATTGTGAACTCTACTGTGATTGAGGTAAACAGTCCGCGGCACCAGTGTCGCCGGCCGCGCCCAATCAGACAAATGGCGTTGATCCCGTCAGACTGAGCAGTAATGATGTTTGTAACCGTCATCCACACGGTACAATCAGCCTATGGGTGTCTGTGACACAGAATCAGGGCCGCTCCCAGTCTGATTGACAGTTGCGCAGCAACTGATACTTAGTCAATTCGCCTTATGAGATGTCGTTGCTTCAAATTTGAATTGACAGCTTACAGTAATTTAAAAACTGCAATAGCTTAGCCAAGAAGCTTCATGCCATTCTCTGCACAACACATGCAAGTAACGTGGCAACTATTCAATCCACTTTCCCAAAGCCGTCCCCGGTGCGGATCTGGCACTGCACGTGAGTCGTGGACTGGAATGGGCAGGCCGAGAGGCACTCACCATGACCAGATTTCCCGAGGTCTTGTAGGACACTTTGGGCAGCGACGCCGCCGGCGGCTGATTCTCCTGGTCGGCGGCCGAGCGGGACACCTGTAACGAACGACAAGGGACGGTCACTGGTCAGTGGTGGGGTGCGGACAGGTTAAGCAGAGCTTGGGGACGGGTTTAGCAGAGCTGCAGTGCGGACACCTGAAACGGATGGCAAGGGATGGTCAGTGGTGGGTTGCAAACCGGTTAGAAACGAAGCTGCGGACGGGTCAGAAGGGGGAAAGGGGAAGGACTGGAAAGAGCGCTGTCAAAAATATGTGAGTGGGGAGGGCTGTGGACGAGTCAGAGACAGAGCTGCTGTCGGGTTGAGGACGGAGCTGCCGACCGGTCAGAACTCAGAAGGAGAGGCTCAGGGTGGTGAAAGGTCAGTATCGAGGGGGGGGGGCACGGACGGGTCACAGACGGAGCTATTAACGGATTACAGAGGAGCTGCAGGCCACGAAGTCACCGTTTCAATGGACGAATCTTCTGTTTCTGGTGCATTAGATAGATAACGGTCCGGTCTGGCAAGTTGCTGATAGTTTAAAAGTTTGCAATGCTTTCAGCTGATAGCAGAACTCAGCGAGACGGCAGAAATGACGTCATCAGTCGATTGTCGACCTATCATGGTCGTATGAGGGTCAAAAACCCCAGTTGTGTACGAAACACCAATGATTCAGCCACCACTGTCAGTTTGGGATAACGGGCATCTTCTATGATAGTGTCTCAATCCTCGAAGTAAGGCAGGAGAAGAAACGCAATGAAAAGCAAGAGATAACAAATAGTTTTATTTTCGTAACTTACGTAGCATGCATGTCTTGGCCCTACTTGAAACTCCGCAAACCATTGACACCCACATTCTCCCAAGCATGTCCTCGGTACCCTCGGCGTCACCAACCGACTTTGACACAATCCGTGAAGACTGCCCGTGACGGGACACGGTTACAACGCCTCAGATCGTGCCGACAGCCGAGCAGTGCCCGTGCCGCTCTCTTTACGGCCGGCCGGTTCGTCAGAGAAGCTGTCCGGCTCAGGGACGGGATTCGGTCGTCACCCGGAGTCGGCGGTAGGTCATCGGGAGGTCACGGGGGCGACTGGCGACAGCCGGTGACCGCAGATGTGCTGAACGGTGGACGGAGGAGAGGAGAGGAGAGGGGAGAAAAGGAGAGAAGAGGAGATAGAGAGAGAGAGAGAGAGAGAGAGAGAGAGAGAGAGAGAGAGAGAGAGAGAGAGAGAGAGAGAGAGGAGAGAAGAGGAGAGAAAAGTAGGCGGCGGGGTTATCGGAGGGTAGGAGGCCGAGGGCTGTAGGGTGACCACAGCTGTACTGAATGATAGACGGACAGGGAACAGCGAGAGAAGAGAACTGTTTGTAGAAAAATGATGATGACCTGAGGCGGTGGATTGCGGCCTACCGGAGCGGCGATGGAAGGTGGACGACTAACCGACCCCTGAAACCATATTCCACACAGGCGGACACTGCTCTGGCAGCCGAGTTCCCTCCCTCTCCTTTTCTCTCCCTCCTCCGATGTGCGTAACACCCGGCGACGGCGCGACTGTCGCGGTCTCCGCCGACGAACCAGACCCGCCCGAGGCCGTGACAGTCTGTGATCACACGGCCCGGTCCCCGGCGCGGACCGGCGGGTCGTAACGACACGGCGCGCAGCTGACACGCCGACCGAGGCACACACGCACAGACACCAGCGGCCGCTGTAAACAACCCGCAGCAGGGACCCGGGGCAGGTGGACGTGGGTTCCGTGAACGATCGAACGCAGGATAGATGGTGGCTGGTGAGCGACCTAAACAAAAGAAATGACGCCAATGACTAGGCACACCTTACTTGTCCTGGAAGTCAGGACAGTGAGCGTAGTATGCTGAGGGCAGGAGAAACGATTGCCGAAAGTATCATAACCCTTGCAGTGACAAACTCCCAGATACTAGACCCAGCTTCAAGCCTTTTCCAGTGATAGAGAAGCGTCTATTGATAACCACCATTCGATCCATCTCGGGCTATCTTTTACAGCCGACAGTCCAAATAAAAACCCGGCAACTGCAATGATCGCTAACTACACCATTCTTCGATCTATTAACGCCAATGAAATGTTCTGTCACATCCACTCCGAAAACCAGGCAAACATATCATCCCGACTTATGAAGCGCATCTTACTGGACAGAGCTGTGTGGCGTTGCTATGCCGTGACCGGTCAAGTGAACCTCGCACCTGCCCAACGAAATAATCCTTACCGTCGCTAAGTCGAGGGCCAGAGCCGCATTGGAGCGCTGAATAGAGGCCGCGTTTTTCTTCCTCTAGGTCAGCGGGGCACAATGGCAAACGGGGTGTATGGAAGGGTAAGCGATTGAGGACCATAGTCTAGAATTCGATCGATAGCATGGGACGCATTTAATAAAAATGGCAGGACAAGTAGTTTGGCAGGAACCTGAAGCACCCATGGGCAATCTAGCCATCGAGCGTCGCGATGTAGGCTATGAAAGCACGCTAAATTACTTAACGTTACATTTCATGAGGATTAATTGAAGCCCCTTAAATATTTGAAAGGCTCTCTGACAAATTGGCCGCTGACATGCCTCATCGTCCATGTCCTAGAGCTCATTGAACCATTATTACATTCAATGTGGGTCTTCATCACTGAACACTAAATTTCACCCGTGCTGGCTTGACCCATCCAGGCTACAAAACACTGAATCGCCGGACCGATTCAGGTCACAAAGCACTGACGCCGGACTGGCCCAGAATACAACACTACCCTGACTGTCTAAGCTGACGACAGCGGCAGCACGTCACCCAGCCCCTGCCCGGTGTCATCTTACTGCCGCGATACAGATACGATCAATCCCCCTCCCCCCCCCCCCCCAGACACACACAGAGACCGCGGCGCCTCAGATTCCGCCCGACCCCCTCCCCAGGCGGCCGACCCCACCGGGTGGGGCAGACGGCCGGTGTCCAGTGTCCACAGAGCGTCTGGCGGCTCGTGTCACAGTTTGGGCGGCGTCCCGGCCGGCCAAAGGTCAGGGGTCAGGCCGCGCGGTGCCGGCCGCCGTAGCCACCCATCAGCGGGGTCCCAGAACGGCCGCTCATGGGGGCGACCCCACCAAACGGCCCGCGGCACCGGCTGACAGACGGCCTGATTTGGACGACCCATGCTCACAGAAAGGCATTTGCATGGGGTGGACTCATGTGAGTGCGCTGTATCATGGTGGTAGTCGGGTAATGCGAACGATTGGTGCATGTCTGGAAATAAAAATGGAGAACAAAGTGATGTCGCCTGGTCAAACCAGACTTAACCGGTGTCAGCTCTCAAATCTAAAAGCGATATAAAACAAAAATCAATTAAAGGACACACCTAAAACCAGGATACAGCGGCACAGGCAGCTGTTCGCGGCTACGAAACTTCCCGTTGTTCCAGGCACGTGCTGCCGCCTCGGCTTTGTACCGTCCATCGTTCCGCACCCGGGCTTTGTAACATAGAGCGCAGTTCAAGTTCGGCCCTCCTTTGACCTGTCGGAGTGCATCGTGAGCCTTTGTTCAGCTCACAGCTCCGAACTATACCGTACGACGGACACAGCGATCGTGGTGAGCGGTAGCATAGCATACAACGGCAGCTGGCAGCAGAGGGAAGTAACGACAGTCGACAATGCCAGACGACAGAGGAGAGCGAGTAAAGGGAGCTAACAACGCTCGACAACGGGAAAAGCGAGCGAGTAAACGAAGCTAGCAGCGCCCGACAACGGCAGAAGCGAGCGAGTAGCGGCAGTCGACAACGCCAGACAACTTCAGAGGCCAGCGCGTAACGCCAGACAATGTCAGGGACAAGTAACCGCTTAACTACAATAAAAAACTCGCCAACGGCTTAAGTGAAAAGCCGCGTTATAACAGCGAGCGACCTCTGTCTACGTAAGAGACGAACAACTGTGGCGAACAACACGTCAAAAATACAGCACGAGTCGTCATCATCGGGCGTGGCTGTCGTACGGGACGAGGCTGCGGGGATGACGGACACGTCGCCCGGCGCTGGACGTCCCGAGGGGCTCATTACGGGCCGCTAATCCAGGGAGGCTGAAGTGGCCAGCGGCGACCGGACAGCGGCCACACAGAGCGAGGCGCCGCGGACGTGACGAGAGAGAGGAAGAAGGAGAGAGAGGGAGGGATATAGAGGGAGAAGGAGAAACGGACATAGACGGCACATGACGAAGCAGAGGAGGGAGATGTGGAGAGAGAGAGAGAGAGAGAGAGAGAGAGAGAGAGAGAGAGAGAGAGAGAGAGAGAGAGAGAGAGAGAGAGAGAGACAGAGAAACACAGACAGAGACATAGATATATAGGGAGATAGATACAGACAGTCAGCGAGACACAGGGCCGAGCTACACGCGAGTCCGGCTATCGACCCTGCGGCGACCGCCGACAGCGACGTAAAATGGCTGTCTCTCACAAGGACATGTTGGTAAATGCACCAACTGATGCAATTACACGACCACCGCGAGATTGCCTCAGAAGCGAGGCGAGGAGATGGGTCTGCCGCCAGATCCAGACGATAAGAAACAAGGTCATCTTTTCCACATGCATACACATATCTTGAGAGAAAATGTGAAAAAGTGAATTATTCTATCTTGCTCTCTATCTATGTTTCAATACCTATAAGCAGAACGCTGAGTTCATAGCTAACTGAAGATAGCTAATAGAGAATATTTATTTTATAAGAAGATGCTCAAGCACAAAGTTATGATGCTAAACAATAAACAGTAGACATGAAAACGCAAAACAGCCTTCACCATCGCTCCACTCGAAATGAACGAAGAAGCGGGGCGATTCAGGAGACCACCCAGGGTCACTCTCGGAAAACACAGCCGGCCGCGTGACGTCAGTTCGATCCGGACTGGACCGGACCGGGCGGCGCCAGCCGGGGGTCACAGAGAGGGAATCCAGGGATGAACCGAGCACGTCACAGCCGGCGGCGGCCGCCCGGCGCGCGCCATTACCCGCTGCCCGTACCGCGCCGCTCCGCCGCCGCCCACGTCCATATTCATGGCCGCCATTGGAGTCCCTCCACCCGTGAAACGCGCTAATGTTTGTGAAAATGAGCCGGCGCAGCCTCCTAACCTCAGTGGGAATCGTTTGAATCCGACATTTCCCACCCAGGACCGATCCCCGCCCCACCTGCCGGTTGGGACAGCGGTACGGCATTCCTGACAGGTCAGCGGTGTTGGAGTAATCTGTAACCGCGTCAGACAGCCGACACCGTCTGGAACCGCCTGTCGACTGATCGGTATATCCGGCGGGCGGCGAGTGAGGAAAGGTACGACCGGGTGAGCGAGGAACGCTTTAACCCGCGCCCAGCTGGGGGTCCTGGATTTCCACGCCCTGCTGGGGGGGGGGGGTGTTTGAACACCCCCCCTTCTAACTCGGCTCCTGGGCCACGTAGCGATACGCAGAAGGCGGCGTTCGAAAGAGCGTCAAAAATAATGAGGAAATCACTTCGGTCAATTTTTTGGTCAGGTCAAAGGTCAGGTCACCAGAGGTCATTGAAGGCAAAATTTCGCCGATTTCCAGGTCGAATGTCGACAATTTCCAAGAAGCCAACGCATAACTCGGGAACCAATAGAGCTACAGCGCCGCGGAAAAGCGCATTCGATAGCCCTATTAACGTCCTTTCTGAGTAATTCTCTCAGATTTGACCTAACGTCAACGGTTTTGCCTGCAGGGGGCAAAAACTGCAAAAATAGCCGATTTTTTCGGAAACAGTTTTTCTGCAATAACTTTTGACCCAAGCCATGTACGAGCTTACTTTTACCGGCATCGTGTTCCTCTCGTCAAGACGCATCGAATGAACTATAACTTGACCTTGAAAGGTCAACTTGAAAATTTGACCTCAGGTCAAGGTCATGACCTGACCGGAAAGGGTCATGTTGCATATCAGTCGATCCGTATCGTCGAGCTGAACACATCTAAGGCGTTTTCATTGCTCTAGCATGCCTCTATCAAAAGTTATTTGCGAAAAACTGTTAGATACCATTCGTGACCTAAGATGACCTCAGGCCATAAACAGGGGTCACGGACACCATTTTCATGTTCAGTGTGTATAAACCACTTGTAATTCAGTGTTTGGGAGTGTTTATAATGTCTTTCGTCCAAAAGAGGCGCATTTCAATTTTCTCCCATTGACTTAAAATGGGGAGGTCGCAAAATTGACCTGACCTTAGGTCATCGATATCAAAATTCTGAGATATACATTTTGTACATGCTATTGCTCTTAGCAATCGCTGAAAGTTTCAAAGCGATCGGTCACTCGGTGTAGCTATGACAGACATTGAAACTTTTTATGAGGTGAGGTCACTTCAAGTGACCTGGTGACCTGACCTTGAATGACCTTGGTCTGAAATTTTCACAACATGTGTAGAATTGATGTATGATAAGGTGTACCAAAAACGGCGGCGCTCCGCGACGCCGTTTTTGAGATATTCGCGAAAAACCACAAGGGGGGGTGTTCAAACACCCCCCCCAGCAGGGCGCGGGTTAATTACCGGTGAGCGAGTAACAAGTTGATCGAGGCACAAGATGATCTGTGAGCGAGGAACAATGCGCCCGATTAGTAACTGAGGCTAGTAAGGTTAGTAAACAAAAAGTAAGGATAGTTAACAATATGAATGGTGAACGAAGGACAGAGTAGCTGGTATCGTGGTACAAAATGACCGACGATGAGAGCACGTAATGATGATTAGGGTTTGTCGGCGCTACAACCACGAGGGGAGGGACAGCGAGCGAAGGTTTCCTCGAACACGGGTCGTGAGCCCGGCTCCGACCCGTTAGTTGTACGGCACAATCCGAGCGGAAAGTCGGCGTCGCCGAGCCGACCGGAAGGGACGTCGAAACGTCGTCGGAAAAAGGCTGAGCTTCTTCGTCCAAGCTGGACACAGTGCAGAGTTCGAAGGTTGTGAGCATAAGACATTTGAACTAGAATCTATTTTTAGGACAGGACAAGTCTCAATGAGGCAAATCTTGACATTAAGGACCCTTATATATGTAAAGTCGGAATATGACAGATGCGAGAGTTATTGAAATCATCAGGACGACTATAATTGAAAATTATGCCATGGCTGGTGGCACGACTGTAAAGGAAAACAACATAACACACATGCATGTCACAATCAACGCATCGTACTTTGATTGACTAATAAGCATCTATCACAATCACCGATAGAAATTTGCTTAGTAGGAAAACATCATCTGAACGAGTCCCACAACAGACATTTCCCTCAGCCCGACCATATCTAGTGAGAGATGATCTCCATTCGCTCACCTTGACCGGTATCCTGCTGCCTCCTGCCGCCGAGGAGCCCGCCGAAGCCGTGGACGCGTTCGAGGTGATTGAGGTGTTCAGATCGCGCAGTACATTGTCCTCGTCCTGTGACGGCGCGGCGGACGCCTCCTCCGCCAGCGGTGCCAGCTTCTGCGGCGTGGGCCGCGCCCGGGGCACCACGCTGTTGAGCATGCGGTTCTTGGGACGCAGGTTCTGCACCAGGGTGGGCTCGGGACCGTCGTGGATGTAGCGCGCTACCGGGCTGACGATGTCCTGTGGGAGGAACAGAGTGGAGCCGTGATTATTCCGAAATGGAGCGAGATGTTATGGACAAAGTTCAATATAAGAATAATTATGAAAAGCTGTTAGTCAGCGACATTTTACAGAATGATCCCGGAAAATGAGCAAGATCGGGGCAGCGCCTATATTACCGTGCGAAAGCCGGCCGTTGTCGGCACCGCAGCGCCCTCGCTCACCTTCAGGTTAGGTTTGGTTCTCGGAGTAGTCGGCTGTGACGCCACCGTCGCCGTCCTGGCCACCGGTGTCGGCGTCCTCAGGCGGCTGGCTTTGGCGGCAGAACGGGCCGGGGACGGCGTCACCTTGGCTCGCGGTGTAGTCAGCCGGCCCGGGGACGGTGCCCCCATCTGCTGACGAGGGGTGACCGCGGCAGGCCGGCCCCGGCCGCGGGGGGTGACCGAGGCGGGGGTCGCCTTCTTGCCCTCAGCTGGCGCCGGCCGGCTCGGGGTAACCCCACTTGCCGCTGCCGCTAATCGAGGCTTGCTCTGAGGTGTGGCCGCCGTTGGAGCGCTCACAGCGTCGCCCACCTCCGACACCGACTTGTTGGAGTGGAGGAGGGTCTCGCCCGCGGCCGTCCGGTTCTGCAGCAGCGTCTCCAGGCGCCGCTCCTCCGCCTCCATGGCTAGCAGCTTCTCCATCATCTCCAGCGTGTCGTTCATGTCAGATCCTGTAGATGTACCGCTCATAAACGAGCCGGCTAAACTGCTCTCCGACGCCAGACTGGTGACCCGGTCCCGGCCGGCCAGCGACGGCGAGCGGCTGTGATCGTCACTGGTCGCGTCGTCCACCACCGCCGTCCGTTCCATCCCTCCTGATGGCTCACGAGAGGCCTCAGCTGCCGCCTCCGGCTCCGGAAGATCCTCCACACTCGACTCGTACAGCCGCGAGTCATCCTCACTGTCGGACTCCTGCGCTGCCTCAGCTCCCAGTGTGCTGTTGGGTGGTGCGGCGGGCGTGATCGATATATCTGAGAGGGTAGACGCAGATGTCAGTCTCCGGCTGTCGTCCGCCGCCCTCCCGCCGTAGCAGGTGTGGTACGAGTCGACAGAGGTGGCCACTGAGACGGCGCTCGGCGAGGAGAGTTGGCGGTGCATCGCCTGCAGCAGGCCGCCGCCGGGGGACGAGAAGCTCTCTGGTGGCGAGCGGATGGCGCGCGGCGTGGCGCCGGTGACGGTCACACGCGGGGAGCGGGCCGCAGCGGCCGGCTCGGCCAGTTCGTCACAGAGCGCTCCGAGCAGCGCACCACTGGCCGTCTCGCGGCGCTTGGCCCCGCCACCAGGCGCGTCCTGTGCTCCGTCCTCCGAGGCCAGCGTGACCCACAGGCTTCCGTTCACGGCAGGCTCCCGCTCCTCGGATAAATCCTCGCAGACACTCTCTTGGGCAGCGTCCGGCGGAGACACGGGACACTCTGAGGGCATCTCCTCCCAGTGCTGGCTCCTCTCCGCCCTAGGAGATCGGGGAGCATGGTTTACTGACGGCATCTCCTCCCATTGCTGGCTCTCTTCTGCGGTCGGCGAGGAGGGAGCGGGGCACTCAGAGGGCATTTCCTCCCATTGCTGGCTCTCTTCTCCGTTCCGTGGCGAGGGAGCCGGACATTCTGACGGCATCTCTTCCCATTGCTGGCTCTCTTCCGCGTTCCGTGGGGAAGGAGCATGACACTCCGTCGGCATCTCCTCCCATTGCTGACTCTCCTCTCCACGTGCCGGCGCTGGCAGAGGGTTCTCCGAGGGGAGTTCCTCCCAGACTCTGCTCTCACCAGCCGGCTCCGGCAGCGGGTTCTCAGAGGGCATCTCTTCCCACTGCTGACTCAGCTCGGCCCCCGTCAGCCGGGTGGAGGAGAGCGGCTGCTCAGAGGGCAGCTCCTCCCAGTGGCGGGACTCGCCCGTGTTCTCAGCAGAGGCCAGCGGCGCGGCCGACTCCTCCAGGCGACTGCTGGTCACCGGGTAGCTGGGGACAAATGGCAAGGTTAGCGTCACAGGCAGCCAAATACACCCATGAGTCTCCTAACAGCACACCCAGTCTGAACAGCAGAAATGACCATTAAGCTGAGCTGATATCATGCTTGCCTTTCAAGGTAAGAAACTGTTCAATAAGCAAAAACAACGAATCTATGAATAATGAATCTATCAGCCTATTTACTAAATCTATCTACTTAATCCATTTATCTTTATTAACTATTTAATCTATGAATCTTGTTCGAAGAATGTGACATCGATACAGCAACTGGATCATCAATCACCTAGATAGAAAATACAGTACATCCCGCGCGCAAACTTCATCGTTTCCCTCCCCTCACACGGGCGTCACTCACCGATTGGTACCGGCCGCGGAGGTCGGCAGCTCCAGCTCGCCCATGGTGAACGACTCGCGGGCTCCCTCCAGGGTGACGGCCCGCATACCACCCTCCAGGCCGGCCATCGTGTTGTTGGCGCTGTCACTGCGCAGATAATACACAAGAGATTAGTGGTGGAGGAAATGAGAAAGACATGCCATGAGAAAGACATTCCCGTGTGCTAATGCGACTAAGATAAAGCATTGCTTCAGATTCGTCTTTGCTTGGTTTTCTAGTTTGCAGGCATGCACAAAAGAGCTATTTCACCTTTATGTAAAACCAATAGAATATTGAGATGGTCGATATTAAAGCGTGATCGAGTTGTGTCTGCTTATTAATATTGCAGCTTCCTGAATACATACTCTGGCCCTTCTTTGTTGAGCAAGACGGCCCTTCTAGCCGCATCAAAAACGTCATCATGCACTCTTACGTTTAAAGATCACGCAGAAGAAGCATGGCAGAACTAGGCATGACCACACCCATGACCATTCAAAAACGAAAACGTATTCTGTCAAACTATGCAAACTATGATAAATCGTTCGTTACATGCAGTGCACACCATAATGTTCAGACCCAATCTATCCATTAGCCATCCCCGATAGACGCACCTGGCGTCGCCGTCAGCGAGGCAGATGGTCTCGTTGAGCAGCCGGCTGATCTCCAGTTCCCGATCGGTCACGGGGCCCATGAACACCACGTCCTCTTCGCTGTCACTGGCCTCGCCAGCTGCCTGGCGCCACGCTGTCGCCATGGGATGGCCTGTGAATGGTGCTGAAAACAATGACAAAATATTCAAATTTCCATAAACTTACTCAGATGTGAATTGTAGAATTCACTGTGAGGTGTGACCAAGGGTGTGACCATAACTTATTCCATTGTCTTTTGATACTTTGAGCAATGAATACATTTATTGGAAAACAATGCTTTGCTATAAGAGACCAAGATAAACTGGCCAAGGGCCTAGCTTTTCAGTTTGAAAAAAAGCATCAACATAATAAATGCAACATACTGATGGCTGATGCTTACCAGTAGAGCAAGCACCGCGACTAATGTAAAATTTGCAAACCAGGTACCAAACCAGAAGCAGACTGGTCACAGTGGGGTGTTTCTATGTGAAAGACACATCACCAAAGTGACTTTGGACTTTGGACAGGGTACCGAGGGCATGGCCGTGGGCATACACCATGCATGATGTTCTACGAAAGTGAAGGGGTTTGTGAGATGGGCAAGAATTAACTGTGGTTTGTCTGCTTTGTATTGGTATGAGTGCATGAAAAAGGTCTGCCAAGTCAGAGTTAGAGCTGTGGCTGGTTAGGGTTGACAGTTTACAGTTCTGCCCATTGTCTGAGTCTCAGTTGGTTTTTGGAAGCCAGAGTCAGAGTCACCTAAAATCTGTCAACACTGCAGTCCCGGTAATTCACCTGCTGGCATCGGCTGCATGTACAAATGCAATAAAATTTTTGGTTAAATTGAGTTGCAAGAGGGAACATGATGCTTACAATCATTTGAAACATTTTCTGAAGCTGATCATGATGCCAAGTTCAAATTTAAATCAGAAACGAGTGGCACCTTCCACCTAATTGTTATTGGTAATTTACCGACACCTCACACAGCTTGAGACTGAGACATCAACATCAACAACATGACATTGGCATAGCAGGGGATTACCTTTCAATGGATTACCTTTTCAGAGAGGAAGAAATCTAAATAATCTTCAGGCAACTTGAACTGGACGCACTTTGAATCCCCCGCGTTAATTGAAATCTGATACAAATGGGCTTGATCCAACCAAGATCCAACTTGGATATCCAACCGTGAGATTGCAGACCCAAAACACAAAAGCGCAAGAAGTTTGTTTTGAATCTCGCCACCGAATTTCATCACGATTTTTTGAAATTATTAAACATCGTATCTTTTAGTCACTAAATCTTTTTGTTGTTTTTTGTTAAAATAAAAAGACTATTTTTGGGCATATACCTATTTTTTGGATATCATTAAGGCCTCTAGGTTGTTAAAAGTATAAAAACCTAAAAAAGACATAATAATTATAGCTCCTGACTAAGATGGCGACTCCCTGTGCAAGAGGGCAAACACGACGCACTGCATACGTCTCCAAAAGTGTACACTAAAGTTGCCAAGGGAAGTTGAACTGAAGTGCACTGAAGCGTTGGAGTTTTGATTTGCTTTCGGACTCTCGCGGATTATATTTACGCTAATGCGTCATGGTACTGTTTTTAATTTTCTGTGCATAATTGTCTTCCAGCCTTGCCCCTGCCATAATTTACAAGGAAGGACGTAAACCACCCGGATATTTGCAGACGATATGGCATTTCGCAGGCTATTGAGCTTCAGTCATGTTGGCAATAATTTTTGTCGAAAATATTGTCAAGGTAAGTAGTTATACAAATTTACTGAATAATGTGGTGGGGGCGTTTGTTGTAGTTTTCAGTAACTTGAGGACTAAGATAACAATGAAGAATCTGTTTGCGACAATTGTAAATCAGGTTTCACACCTCTCATTCTGATTCTTGGACTGTTTTAACTGGGAAAGCGTGCTTTCACCACGCGGAGTCCAACACTAAGAACTGAGCTATGGGACCGGTTTTTAGGGCTTCTACAACAAGCTCTGCTTGATAGAGGCTTTGAATTATGAAATCATTATTAACTTATAATAATTTAACAGGGTTTAGGTTTAAAGGTTTATATTTATAAGCTTTCATTTTATGTTCACAGGGGTAGCCAGCCGAGATCCTTCACTGTATTTCTTCAGCAGCAGAGTCCAAGAACTTCTTTTTCAGCTGAATGACAGGCAACATGATCTGGTTTTCAAGCCCAGAAAGCTGGGTCAGAAGCTAGAGGCTCCCCAGTATGTGTTCATGACTGATGAAGATCTTGACAAGGTCAGACATTCTTTTAGGTCCTTTCCTGTGCTGGATTTAATATTTTGTATGAAACTATTTTCATTTTAGTGTTATTTTGAATGGGCTTCATCCTAAAAACTTGTGTCAACCTTGATCATTGCTGCTCAGGGTTTTCTTTTTTAAGTGCTTTGTGATTTTGAAAGTGCAACTTGAAAAGGAGGATAATCAGGTGCTGGATTTACCAGCATAGTTTCATTTGATGACTTAAGCTGCACCCACTTTCACTCATCACTCTTGTCATGAACATTCAGCAATAATATTCCTTATTTAGCTTCCAGTATCCTCTAACCACTTTCCACTTCTTTTCCCAACAGGAGCGCCGTCGGATCGAGCAGCGTCTCCGCGAGAAGCTCCAGGTACCGCCCGTACTGGGCCCTCGGAAACCCATCGAACGGGTCCTGGCCAAAGACCCGCGACTAGAAGGGCTGCACGACTCCAAGCTGGTCTGCATTGATATCTCGCCAGATCTATCCGATAGGGTGAGACTCGAATTCAGCGGAGATCAGCGAATATTTTCTTATGAGTGTCAGATTGCACATTTTTTTCGAATAAATTTTATTGGCCGTTTATTATAAATATAATTAGGCGAGTTTCATTATGCTCTCCGGAAAAGAATTAACCTGGTCTGTACTCCTACCGCAGCTCAGTTGGTAGAGCATCGAAAACCGAGTGCTGAGACCCGAGTTTGAGTCACCCCGGCCCGTGCGAGACTTTTTACGGCGGTACTCTGTAGCTGGTGTGAGCGAGAACTGAGAAGCCACAGGTTTGAAACCACTTGAGTGGAATGAACCGTGTCCGGCTTTGATGGGAGCGTTAAACCTTGTCATCCAAAGTTTCCCGATTTTCTTAAAATGATCGTGACGATTTTGGATCATCGCCGTTTTCCAAATTATGCCTGTTGGCGTTTAGCGGTTTGTTCTAGTGCTACAAATGCACCCATACCAGTCTCTGACCACTATTGCCTCTCGTGCCATTACAGAAGCGGATGATCACCGTGCGAGAGCCGGACGGTACGCTGCGGACGGCCAACTGGAATGAGCGGGGCCGCATCAACCAGATCTTCCTGCCGGTCGACGGACGCACCGTCACCATGCCGAAAATGTTCGAGGAGCCTCATCTGACGGTGCGTTACGGATGCTGAACATTGACGGCCGCGTTTTCAAAGCAGCTCTCCTTTGAAATGGTGGACGAATTCGTACGCCAGTCATTATATTCGTATATGTTAAAGTAGTAAGTGCAGTTAACTGCTTGGGGCATATTCTTGCAGTAATTGTTATTCAATTATTACGTTTCCGTGAAGGAAACGGTTACGCAACCGGTGCATCATGTATCACTTCTACTATACCCCATAGCCGTCTTTTTCGCTGTACAGAGGGGCTCACTCTAGCTGAACTGTCTGTCTGATCGGCGTTCTCTCTTCCAGGAGTGCCTGGACCGAGAGGAGTACGTCTCCGTTCTGGACCGTGCCTGCGTCCAGTTCGAGCCCGACGACCCGGACTATATCCGAGTCACCAGCGCCACCTATGACCACGTGGACGCTGCCCGACTCTACGAGCGCCTGCAGAGCACCCGGCACTTTGGTGCGCTGGCCTTCTACCTGACCTGGCACAGGCGCATCGACAACCTTCTCCTCTACTTCATCCAGCTTGAAAAGTTAGTGGATGAGAGATTTCGGGGCGCTGATTTGTCTGTTACAGAATGCGTGGTTGGTGTTTTTTATCATCTCAGTTCTAATTTATATTTGAATTCAGAGTAAGAACTCCAGTGTTGGCGTGCCGTAGTTTGTTGCAGGCTGGACGCTAATGCCTAATGGATGTTACATTCATGAGCATTTGGCGTGCAGCCCTCGTTATCCATCATAAAGGCACTATTTCTGTTCAGTGAATTGACACATACCGTTTACTGTGGTCTTGAACCGGAGCGTGGGTCTGTGACCGAAAAGTAGCCGAACTGCCCCACCTACCGGTGACAAAGTTTGCGAGACGGCCGTCTGAGAAATGCTCCGGTCGATAACAGAAGTTTATCAAAGTTTGGGCCGTAGCACACGGTGGCTGAGCCATTGCGTCCGTGACGCTGATTGGGTTTCAAAGAGCTGGACCTCGACCGTGCTTCTGCTGTCATCTTGCTTTAATTGATGACCTTTTTTGTTCAAGGAATTATGTTCACGTCAGCCTAAGACGTTGTACCGGTGTAAAATAAAGAATGTGCACACTTTTCTTTTTAGGGTGCAAGGACTGCTATGCAATCAGCAGAACATGATCCAAATGCTCGTGACCAAATGCTCTTATTTGTCAGTGTTAGTGGGCCAGTGGCTGAATGTGACGCTGCTGTTCGATTAACCAATGTATCGTGTTCCACGTTAGCTGCGAAATGAAATACGAGATGCATTTTCATTTCAAGTTTCTGAGATTATACCCGTTTCTCTGACTGGCGGAACATCTGCAGAAACCAGACTGTTGTACATCGGGAACCGTCCTATCAAATACCGGCTACGATTTGACGTTTAACTCGCCTTTTGCCAGGTTGGACCAAGCAGTGAAACTCATCCATCTGTATCGGTTACTGCGATCGGCGGAGCCAATCAGCGATCAGGCTCCGCCCACCAGGCAGGAATCCAGCCAATCAGACGGCTACTCGTCATCGTCCGAGTCTGGCTCCGAGTCTGAGTCATCGTCCTCGGACTCGGACTCTGAAGGAGTCCAACTGGACATAATTCGGGTGAGTCTGACATTTAGAGCGAAGCATGCCGTCGCATTCTGTTGTGAACTTCACGCTAAGTTATGGTGAGGCTTGTTGAATTTCATATTAGGTGCTCGTCGTTTCCCTACGGAGGCGAATATGAATATAACTGCATTGAAGTGCCACGGCGAATTCGCAGTATAACCGAATTGAAATTAATGTAGCACACATTTTCGTGCCAAGCCTCAATCAGCATACCGCGCCGTAGTTTCTCAGACAATGCCATTAGCAAGTAATGGGCGTGCCGATACCAACATGTGCTCTTTCCCACGACCTGCGACAGTTTCTTTATTTTCTTTTGCCGACATTTCCACGGCTTCGCCACAAAAACGGGATCCGGATGTCCGGCTACCTAATTAACATTGTAACCATAAATCGAACAGTACTGGCACGCGATTATGTAATGTGGTGTCATAGGGCATTATCAAAACGTATTGTTATACCATACGCCATATCCAGATCCTCCAGATCCAGACTCTTCCCTTTTGTCGATTTTCCCAAAACCTTACTAAAAACTGTAGTGTAGCTTTGCTTTTGTATTCTTTGCCCACGGGTCCCGGCGTTCTTCCTCACTGCCTCTTGCACCCAACTGACGTATTTCTCCCTTCCCTCCTTAGGATTACATTGAGAACGCGTCGGTGAAGCGACCGGTGCTGGAGCTGGCGCTGCAGAATTTCCAGCACCTCTCGGCCGAGCGGCGACGGGTGGAACGGGAACAGCGCAGAGCCGACGGCAGGCAGTGACCTGACCTGAGCTGACATCGGGTGAATGTCGGGTCGGACGGGCCCCGAACTCCGGAGACGGACCGGTGGGATGGCCCCCTGACCCTAGTATTTGTGAGAAACTGAAGGTGAGACAGTTGCTAAACAGAGCAGGCGATATTTGTTGTGTGGAGCTGGTCCTACGTTTGCCGGACTGAGACCATCAATGGGTCAATTTTGTGAAGAGAAGCGTGAAATGGCATGTATGTGCTCCATTTATAGTGTCTTTAGTCAGACTTGTTGGCGCAGAATCGCAGTCTCCTCGAATTAGTCGCGAAGCTGTGGTTTTCGTTGTCTTCATTTTACTGTGTTCAATCGGGCACAGCTTTTTTGATAATATCGTTTGTAATTTTGATGCGTTTTATTGTCGTTTCCGCCTTTAATATAAAAAACGGTAAAGGAGAACCGGTCAACAAAATTTACATCGAGCCGAACTCGAGCTTCATAACAAGTTATATTGGCCGCCATTCGTGCGTGCTCCGTGCCACTTGTCCAATGATTGTGTTCGGGGTTGAACCTGAGCGTGATAGTGTCCGTAGCAAAATACTGAAGCGACTTCGCAATGAAATACAGGATGTCTGGACGGAAATGCCATTAAGCTCTATGTTGCATGGTGGGACGCGATGCCATCTGATTTATGACAAGCTTAGTGCTTCAATAACAGAAGCGCAATGCTATGCTACATTTATAGTGTTCCCTTGTGACAACAAGGCTCGCTGGATAATTTAGCAGTTTGCAAGACAATATCCCGGTCGGTTCGAAAGGTGGCTTGTGTTGACGGGAATTATGGTCTGTTGGAGAATTTCGAAACTTGTTTGAATATGCTCGGGGCGATATTGTCTAGGCTGGCAGTCACGAACTAATAACAAACTTTAACTTTGGGACGAATCTGGTCGCCTCGGGCCGAAGGACGCACATCACAAGATAGTATCCGCCATATATTCTTACTAGGAAAGTGCGGCATGCTTAGGCGTACCAATATCGTTGATCCAGAGATCGGCTCTTTTGAAGAGACAGTCCCACACAAATGTGGTGAAAATAGCCTAATTACTCCCGTAGTCACATTATTGAGCGATAGTGTGAAATAAGAAGTTTCGCCTACCATTGTGCAACGTGCAATGTACATGCATGTTATATTACGAGTACAGCAGGGGAGTTGCATCTCTCTTGTCAACTAAGTTGGAAAGACACTTAATGACTCAAGATGATCAAATCCTCAATTCCAGATCAACTTAAAAGTTAAACATCAACCAATGATTACGTACATTCTGAGTCTGACGGTAAGCTCTGTATCTCATCTGGACCGGTAACATTTCATCGCCAGGACCATTTCATTACATTTCAGGCTCGATAGGTATTTAACAAAATCGTGGCCTGTGTGATTCTTAGTTACCGTCCCAGCTGTAGTCACATCTTACACATCATCACCAACACTCAGCGCGAAACAGCCCACCCCCAGCGACCGGCGCTGTGCATTCTTGACATTCTTGCCCTCAACAGCTCAATCGTCGTCACTCTCGTCGTCATACACCTCGTCGATGTAGCCGCCGCGTCCGAACGGCGGACTGCGCTCGTAGTCGACGTCCCGGGCGCCGTCTCTGAGATGCGCCGCCCGTAGCGCATAGTCCTGCTGCAGCTGGTTCAGGAAGTCGTCCTCGTAATCTGACGGAGAGGAGAGAGCGGCGGTAAAAAGTTGCGGCAACTGTAAAGGATTGGGCAATGGGCGTGTCAGGTCACTCAGGTGTGCTGATTTTCGAAGGGATAGGTACCGGTTAAGAAACTCACAACTAAGTTCATACGTGTTCGGAATATTATAATCGCTGTGACTTTTTTGACGATCGATTAGTGAGGCACGATTTTATGTTTATGCGTTATTATCATGCTGCATTGCTGTTATCAGTCTCGCTGTCGCCTGCTAGGTTGACATAAGAACGAGCCTTCTTTCTGCATAGGTCGGTTACGAAGGGCTCCCTCTTGTTTGCCGCTGAGTTTGGCGTCCAGAGCTCTATTCGGTCGCTGTTTTTATATCAGCGTGCTGTCGGTTTTCCCCATATAAGGAAGTTATTGCTGGCGCTTCTTGGCCTCTCATTGGTCTAACGAATAGACCACTTGAATTCGACCAATGAGGAGCCGAGAAGTAGCAGCATGCTCGCAGCCTGCTGATAAATAAACGGAGCGCGAACAGAGCTCAGACTGTGTCTGTGAGTCGCCGGGCGCTACGCCCAGGAGACGCCAGACGCCGCATCCCTGCCTCCAGACTCGCGTTCGTGAGTCACCGCGTGCTACGTCCGGGACTCCGTCCGGGAGTCCGGGAGCCGCCCCCCCCCCTCCCGTCTGGGAGCCTCCAGACTGCGTCAGGAGCCTCGGGTGATCCCGGATTCGGGAGCCACCGGGCGCTGCATTCGGGAGTCGCCGGCCTCCGCGCCCGGGAGTCGCCGACCGATACTGGAGCCGAGAGAGCAGCTACCGACCAGGAAGTGTCTGGGCGCGGGGCGGACCTCCCCCGGCCGCGCGGCGATCGATAGAGGTGATTACTCCGGTGTTTGTGTGCCCGGCGGCTACTGCGTGTCCGCGGGCTCGGGAGACTGGACAGTGCTGCGGTCAGCAGGCAGCGCTCGGCAGCGGGAAGTCCGGTATTGATTAACCGGGAGCACACCGTATCAATTTCCAATCAGTGTGGCAAATGGAAGTTAGGTGTTGCTTAATGGGGCTTTTAGTGATACGCAGCAGCGCAGTAAAGCCTAACCACTTTCCCTGACCCTTGTCATACCAACGTGGGAGTCAGACGGCTCGGGGGGGGGGGGGGGGGCGCAGTGATGGACACGACATGGAACAGCTTCATAAATACATGACGAGGTGGCGGGTGCAGTGGTGGGAGCCAGGACAGCCGGAGCGTACTCAAGAGTGCTACTCTGTTCCAAGCCTCACCCCACCGGCCGTGGACTGGGCACATTGCAGCCCGTTGGTCCAGGATAAGGTATATTGCAGCCCACCGCCCCGGATACTGGGTATATTGCAGCCCGCCGCCCTGGAGGCTGGGTATATTGCAGCCCGCATCGACCGATACCCACCTCCTGCATCGTCCACGTCGTATTGAGCGCTGGCGCCGCCCAGCAGGGCGAGAGCCGCCAGCACCATAGCCGCCTGAAAACGAACGCCACGCGCCGAGTCATTTGACGGGAAAATGCCGAGCGAGACAGCGAGGTCGGTGGTGACCGCGGCTCGCCAACCGATCGCCCCAGATACTGCGGCAATCGACTGGGCGATGTTGGGGCGATCGGTCGGGGTATGGTGTGAATTCAGAGATATTTAATGAATGACATGAATAGGGTAAGGTGCCTAATTAGCGACCCTTTCCGATTTGCGACCTACCTCCCTACATAAAAACTGGCAGGAGAAAACGGGGTAAAAACATCGTCAAAAGGTCAGCCATACTTTGGTTATCAAATTAAATTATTTTCCGGTCGTCGATGTTTCTGGTGGGACGTTTCAGGTGAGTTTAAATAAAAATGACGAGTTTCTTACCCAAAATGTGTGTGTTTGGGCCCTCTCTGACGAAAAGCGATGCACATTAGGATGATGCACCTTTTTTATTCTTAATCGACATTCCTTTTTTAATTGATTGCCGTTTCCCCATAGTGAATCGCTCAACTGTGCACAGCATGGCGGTTAAAAATGTGTCGCAACTCATATTTCCTATTTGCGCCTGACATGGTCGCAAATAGCTCCAGAAGGGAAAGAAAGGGGAAAAGAGAGAAATGAAAATGAGGTGTTGCTGAGGCTTGCAATGTGTGGCAGGGGATGCCAAATGTCGTCACCGACTGCAGGGGTGCCGAATTCAGCGCGCACCTCGAATATCATACAAGACAGCCCGCAAAATTTGGGTTTCCGCCTTCTTTTCGCCTTCGGTGCATCACGTGATCAGTTTTTACTTACGTAAATGTGTTGGATAAACGTTCCTGTTCGAGTGATTGAGTGCTTTGCGTATAGGTTACCTTTTTGAGATCATATTTCATCTTTTCAAGCGTCACATTTTTATGCCATTTTTAATATGGGGAAACCCATAGACTTATTAGCGACCCTCCCCGGTCGCTAATCGGGAAGAGTTCCCTATTAGCGTTTTTTGCAATGGTTTGCCAAAATGCTCACTACAAATAAGTTAGTGACTATTTGGGCAGAAAATGACTATATTTTAATAGAAAAATGAACGATCTCTCCGAAAATCAAGCCAGTAACACAGTGGCGCCTACAGAGCGTGAGCAATGACGGTTCAAATTAAGGGGGTCGCTAATTAGGCACCTTACCCTAGACCTTGAAGAAAATGGGGCGAGTAATACATTTCATAATGCGCAATGGGCAGTAACATCACACAGCGCGTGTAAATGGCAAGCATGTGGGAGCCATTAGCAAAATTACTGTCGTCGAGCTACCGAAATGCATTTGGAGAATGGCCACTGATCATCCTGATAGCTGAATGACCCTGGCTAGTGGCTCTCCATGTGCGCATTTAACGACGGTTAGTTCTATAATGTATGAGGGCTACATGAAACAACGGTATTACAACACGTTTACTGGCAGGTTGTATGATTGTTTCATAACCAACCACCATAAATTAGCGCAACTTGCAAAGGCATCGTTAACCCTGTTAGTGGCAGGGGGGGTTGTTTTCATCCACCCCTCAGGTTTTTCGGGAATATCTCCGAAACCGCTGAAGCTACGATGCTGAAATTTTCTGACTTTTCCTAAAACTAAATTGGGCCCATTCCCTGAAAATTTCAAGTTCATAACTTTACCAGGGGCGGCTCCAGAGCACTGGGAATTGGGGGGTCCTATTCGTGAAGCGAGTCATTTGGGCGAAGATCACGATGCTGCACCAGTTTTACGAACAGTGAATGAAAGGTATCATGTGATAACATATACAGTTACTGTGCATCCTCTTTTGACACGTTTTTGCTATAATAGGCGGATCCAGGCGTCCAAAAAGGGGGGTTATGTTTTACCTCCCAACATAGGTGCCCTGACACCGCCTATGCATGACCAATACAATTGTAGTCGTTCTCTCATAAGAAAATTGTAACATAACAAGACCATTACCACCCTTTTTAGAAACAGTACCAACAAAAACCTTATTAACTATACTTTTTGTGTACCCCCAATCTCAATGATCTGTATCCGCCTATGATTTTTGAAAATGCATATTTTTAGGATCCATGTGAATTCCTGGTTCATTCTCTATCGATCGGCAAAAGTTGCGTTAAGATTGGTTCAGAAACCTGGCCGTGATAAACAGTCTAAAATGTATCTGCAATTTGCCCGTTTTTACCCCCCCTCTACCCCCCTATTGACATTTTTTGATTTTTATTTTTTAGAAATGTAGATCACGTTGAGCGAAATCGAATGCCGTTTGAATTTTGAAAATCGGCCCGTTAGATCTCGAGATATCAAGGGGGGGGGGTCGTAAAAAGCCCCCCCCCCCCTGCCACTAATAGGGGTAGCCAGGAGCCTGCCACTAATAGGGTTAAGCACACACATACACAAATCCACACATATCCGCACCACGGCATTTCGTGTCGGTACTGTTTCCTCAGGTACTT